AAAATTCCGCGAGGCGTGCGGCATTACACATTACCGCGTTATTAAATTTATTATGTTATACAAGGCGCCAACTATCCAACTATCATGGAACTTTTTTATCTGCAGTTGCTTTGCAATAAACCGATGTTGATTTTCTCTCCGCAAAAGCGCGGATGGACTCTCGAACAATTATTGCCCTTTTGCAAACACAACTAAGAGAAAATTTATACACTCGTTGCAAGTCGGATGATATTTCGTTTTATTTACTCTGGAGCGAACTTTGTCTTCGTGGAATTACAATTTGTAATTTAAGCGTCACTTGGTGCGCGATGCTTCTTTTATCGGCCATCGAAATTCCGCGGGATGCCCGCGGAAGAAATACGTACTGCATTCAGCTTAACGTTGCTTCTTTCAAATATTTCAATAAATTTATATATATCCGCAAATTTACAAATTTACCATAAGCGCCGAATTTATCGAAAATACGTTCTGAAACGTAATAAATTTTAATTGCAATCAAGAATATCAAATTAAAATCAGAATATCAAATTAAAATAGAGATTCATTTTGCTTCTGGTAAAAAAAAAACAAAATATAAATTTCATAATATTCTCGAAAAGAAAAGAAAAATTCTTTTTTTGAATTTGCGATAACTATATTTTCAGACTATTATCAACAAATATTTTTTATTAAAGATAACTATTATTTAAAGAAAGGGATTATATTTTTTTCTGTGCTTGCCTTACATTATCGCGTTAATAAATTTATTGCATTATACAAAGTACTCCTACTTTCAACGTGCAATATTTTGTATCCGCGATTGTTTTCCAATAAATCGATTGACTTTCTCCCGACAGGAATACGGAGAGATAACGCGTAATTTTCAGAATTTCATAAAAGCAACTGGAAAAATCTACACCTTATGCTCTTTGCCCAAGTCGGATGATACAGTTACTTTAAATATTCTCTTCTTATTTATCCTGAGAAACGAACTTTATCTTCGCGAGATTATAATTTCTGATTTAAACGTGGTCCTCGCGCAGTGCTTCTTTTATTAGTCATCAGTATGCTGTTGCGCTAAAGGCTTGCGAAGAAGTATCGTATATTTTAAGATGCCAGCAAGCAAACTCGCTTTTTCGCCGCGAGCCAACGCGATAGTCCAGGTAAAATATTCCAACTTTACGAGCTGCTAGTGCTGTGTATCTGTTGGTTCTTTTTTCCCGTTTTCACGTAAAAAGCGCCGTGGAAATTAGCTGCGGCGGTAGTTCGCCACTTCCAAGCGACGAACAGATTTTGGAGCAGTCTTCGGGATCATGTTTGCCCGATCACATCACGAAAACATTCGCCGTGTAAACACGTGAAATGTGTTCTTCACGAGACAACTCGATTTTATTCGAAATGTATATAAGCAATATATCAACTCGTTGCTCGTAAAACCGAAACGTTGCATCGCGATGCATCGTAATGTTCGTAAATAAATTTTAGCGAGTAATGAAATTGAATGGGAGAAACAGCGAGAGCATGTTTGATATTCGCCCCATTTATTCGAGTATGACATATATATATACCGGGTGTCCTATTTTAAAAAACGCACCTCGATAATTCTTCAACGAAGCATTTTCAGCAAAAATGTTTCGGACAAAAGTTGTGTAATTTTAAGGAGGACATAAAAGAAGTATACTATTTTGTTTATAAATGGTACCACTTTCAAGATATTCACTAATCACTACTTTTCTTAAATGGAAACCCCAATTTTTTATTACACCGCCTTTTTCTGCCAATTAATATAAATAACTTTTGTATGAAACATTTTTTTATTTACCTAATAATTTTTGAGATATTTAAGGAAAACTTGATAACTTTCTCAATATTTAACTCACGATATCTCGCTAACTATTTGTCAGAAGAAAAAGTGGTACTAGACTTTTTTGCTCTATTTAGTCTCAAAAATATATTGTTCCAATAGCCCTGAATTTGGTTAATTTTATGATGTTGAAATTTCCAAAAATCAGCAAATTAACAAAAGTCAGGGTGCTATTATAAAAATATATTTTTAAGGCTAAGTAGAATAAAAAAGTCTAGTACAACTTTTCCTTCCAACAATTAGTTAGCGAGATATCGTGAGTTAGATATTGAGAAAGTTATCAAGTTTTCCTTAAATATCTCAAAAGATATTAGGCAAATAAAGAAATGTTTCAGACAAAAGTTGTTTAAATTAATTGCTAGAAAAAGGTGGTGTAATAAAAAATTGGGATTCCTATTTAAAAAAAGTAATAATTAGTGAATATCTCGAAAGTGGTGCCATTTATGAACAAAATAGTATAGTTGTTTTATATCCCTCTTGAAATCATACAACTTTTGTCTGAAACATTTTTGCTGAAAATACTTCGTTGAAGAATTATCGAGGTGCGTTTTTTAAAATGAGACATCCTGTATACAAAATGTCCTTTTGGATCTTTTGGAAACGAAAAATTGTGAAGATTGGTCAGATCGTATTAAGAAGAAAAGTCAAGTACCGTTTTGCAAAAATCGCAATAGATGTTAAATTATTAATGATTGAAAATAACCACATTGAGAAGTTCTTTTAATTGATAACTTGAAAATTTGCGTACTTATTTGCAAAATGGTAAAAGACTTTTTTGTTCAGAATGACCTAACCTACAATTATATGACAGCTAGCAATAATTGTTTCTAGCAACAAGTTCAAGAGTCAGGATTCAAAGTTCAATATATTTATATCTGTTACTGTATATATAGGGTGTCCCATTTTAAATAAGCCAGGCAAAAATCTCGAAAAATATAAAAGATACGGAAAAATATTTCAGACAAAAGTTATTTGGTTTGAAGGGAGATATAAGATAGCGATATCATTTTTTTGACAGATGGCGTCATTTTCGGAATATTTGCTGATTATCACTTTTCTTAAATAAAAATCACAATTTTTTTAATATATCATCTTTTTCTACCAATTGATTTGAACAACTTTTGTCTGGAACATTTCTTTATTTGCTTAATATCATTTGAGATATTTAAGGAAAACTTGGTAACTTTTTCAATATTTAACTTACGATATATTGCTAACTATTTGTCAAAAGAAAAAATAGTACTAGGCTTTTTTACTCTATTTAGTCTCAGAAATATATTGTTGTAATAGTGCCCTAATTTTTGTTAACTTATCGACTTTTGGAAATTTCAAAATCATCAAATTAACAAGAGTTAGGGTATTATTGTAACAATATATTCTTGAAACTAAGTTTTCCTTAAATACCTCAAAAAATTAGGTAAATAAAAAAATGTTCCAGACAAAATGGTTGTCCAAATTAATTGGTAGAAAAAGATGATATAATAAAAAAATTGGGGTTTCCGTTTAAGAAAAGTAATGATCTGTGAATATCTCGAAAGTGGCGTCATCTATAAACAAAATGATATAGTGGTTCTATATCCCCTTAAAAACAGTACAACTTTTGTTTGAAACGTTTTTTATTATCTTTAATATTTTTCGAGATTTTTGCCTGGCCCATTTAAAATGGGACACCCTATATATATATATATATATATATTTGGAGTACAAACCTGGAGAAGACAATACGGAAGCAGCCGGCGACATAAATCCGTAACAGGTTACTAAACAACGCAAGTAACGTGGAACTCGCATGGTGAAACTCCACGTTCTGTTAATCCATGTGAAAAACAAGCGTGGGGTGTGTTCGGGGAAATGCTATTAGTGCTGTTTAGCACTACAGGCTGTTCGTGGAGCTAGGTGATAGCGCTAGTAAACGCTATCACGACGTCACTAATGGTAGCGTTGTACGCCATAATTACGCGCTATCGACGCTATCCCTTCCGAGGTGGTGCACTAGTAGTGTTCGCAAACTCCGTGAACATTCAAAACGCGATGTGAACTGCACTGTACGTCTCACTTGAATGCTACTTATATCGTACTCATTTATCGTACTTATTTTACTATTTACGTGCGTAACATGGACAGTTCTGTGGAAATAAAGTTCCGGGATGTTGAAACTGAAGAGGAGTTTAAACTGTAAACTCTCTCTCTCTCTCTCTCTCTCTCTCTCTCTCTCATCAACTAGTGCTTTTAGAACACACACCGGTAACTTGTAGGTTTGATCGTTAAATGATACAGGTACGGTATGACGCAGTAACGCTAACGCTATGCTATTTCTGCACGTGGAGTTCGCTATCCATGCCATCACGCTTCACAAACAGTTTTGGTAACGTTTGCGCCGGTAGTGTTTGTGCTAAAAGCGTTTCCCGAACGCATTCATGATCAGTTATTACACCAGCATCGAACGTCGATTGCAAACAATCGAATGAGTGCGAAGCTCCTGTCGAGAAAAAATTTGCCCGACGAAACGGTGTATAACGCAACGAGATAAAAATCGGCAGCTCTTTTCTTCGTCAATTGCGATTGCTTGTAATTATCTTCCCCAGCGAAAAAAAAAATCCGCGTGAGCGTTTTGGTCCTTTCTCCTGAATTCGTTATCACGTATGTCTGCAATTTGTTGCATCGATCTTGAATATTTATCGGGACGGGACTAGCGAACAGCCGGCTAGGCTCAAGAGAGATCCAACGAAGAGGCAAGAATTCCTGTCGATCGAAAATCCGAATAAATACCGGAGATTAAATCCGCTGGGTATCTGCAGACTAAAAAGGCCGTTCCGAGTTCACGTTTACAGAAAGGCGGCTGCGCGAATCCGAAAGACCAAGACTGAGGCTAAGTCTAAGACTAAGCCCAAGACAAAGACCAAGAGTAAGACAATCAGGCTAAGACCCTAAGCCCCGACGAATCCACCTATTCAAGGGCCTCGGCCCGATAACAAGTGTACAAGATAAATCGGTCAAGTGCAATCTTTGTTAGCTCCGCTTCAGATAAAAAGGGTCCAGCGCGGTCTCTTCCGGTCGTTGCTTTCGCCGACACTAATTTTATTTACGCCTTTCTGCTCCGCCAGCACTCGGGCAAACAAGCGGCGCGTGAATGAACGAGCGAAATGATTTGTTACAGGTGGTGCGGGCGGCCAGTCCGGTTTTGTTGCGCGTGATTGTCCTGGGCGCCTTCTTCATATATTGCACAGTAAGTACTCGACCCGACTCGTCGAGTCGATTCGCTCGCGGTGCGGCGCAGCGCGCGTCCCCCGAGCGTTTCATATTCATAAGGGTTGCAGAGCGTCTCGCCGTCTGAATCCGATAACAAAGCTTTCTCACATGTGCGCTGCGCAGAGACGCTGCAGCATTGAGCCCGTTTATAACCGCATCTGTTGCGACTACCTTAATGTATGCATGCGCCTCATGCGCCAATTATGATAACGCATAACTCGCCGTATCGGCGGCCGCATCGGCTGCGAGCGTGTATTCACCGGTAACTAACGACTTTCATGATTCACTAATTAAAGCGGATGTGTCGGGTGTCCTCCACGGCCTGCCGCGCCCCGGATATGACGCCCGGGATATTTCGCGGCGGCTCTCGGAACCCGCTGATTGTTTCTCACACAGCCGCGCGAGTCCCGTGGAAATTTCTCGCTAGGAAATTTAGACCCTGTGCGAGTCTGTCTAGTCACGAGGCGGTGAATTTCTGCCGGAAGTTCTCCTCGCAGCCAGCAATGTCACGCTCGTTTCGCCCTGAGTGCCTAGATAAATAAATCTCAGCTGTGTGAAATATAGGTTAAGTGAAGTATAAATTATAGTTATGAGACGGAAGGTCATGAGCAATCGGCAGTCGGGGTAATGTAACACTTGCTTGCAGTTTTTCTAACAAGGAAACATAGGAAACTCGGAAATTCAAAAAATTATGAAACTTTGTGCGGAAGTAAAGTAGTTTATCCGTAATGCAAAACTATTTTTTGTTTGTGCGAGATTTCAGTCTGAGGAGATGAAACTACCCTTCGAAAAAAAACCATTTTCATTTTTAGCGTACGTATTTTTAAAATACGACATTCATATAAACTATTTTTGCATATGCAAAAATAGTTTATATGAAAGTTGTAGTGTCTCTCATACTCTTTGTAATTGTATATTCAAATTTTGCAAAATTGGAGGAGCGCAGAGAGGTTTCAAAAATTTTTCAATTTTGCAAAATCTGAATACACATTTGCAAAGAGTATGAAATGCATTACAACTTTCATATAAATCATTTTTACATATGTTTCGTATTTTAAAAGATATACGCTAAAAATGAAAATAATTTTTTTATTCGATGGGTGGTTTCAGACTGAAATTCCGCACGAAAAATAGTTCCGAACAAAAAATAATTTTGCATCACGGATGAACTATTTTACTTCCACGCAAAGTTTCATAATTCCTTCAACTTCCCTATGTTTCCTTGTAAGATTTTCATGAGAAAACCTGAGCCGTCAACTTTAATTCCCAAATGCTAGCGTGTGATCGGCATACAATAACAGCTAGAATAGATACTTTAGCATAGACGACATCGCTGCATCCTATTTACTCCGACGTGCAATGATGACACATCTGACATTTAACGACTAGACAATAATTAGATCGCAAAATCGATCCTACACTCTAATGAATAATCGGCCAGTAATGAGCTAGTAACAAACATTTAATGTAGCCCGTATTAGTTAATTACTTTCGGTCGGGGCTGCTTAGTTACACTTTTACTCTCTCGGATAATTGTAGACTCGTAGAGACCCGCAATTTTCGAGACGAGGGACATGTGAAAATCGGTGTGCGAGGTGCAAGTGTGTGTTGCAATGAGCCTTATGAAACTTAAATATCGTCGTGGTAAAGGTGTCAAAAGTGGATCTCTCCCTCTTCCCCTCACATTTCTCTTTTTCTCTTGAGGAAAGACAGATTTCCTTCCGCTCTCAGCGATCTGAAGAGACATTTCGGATTTTGTCGTTGTGCGCGAAGAAAGCAGCGCGGTTGTTGCTAGTCCGAGCAGCACCGTCTCTGAAACACGCCGAGCGTACAGCACCATAGATCACGTAGCAGCATAAAATAACTCCAGACATCGCATCTAGCTTGTACTCTCGGTTGTGACCCGTAGTGACAGCTGCCGCGACACGCATTCCATGCACGTCCTTAGTGATATATCGGGCTGATAGCAGAATTTCTATCACATTTCACAACCCCTTTTTCCCTCTTCTCCCCCCCTTCCCCTCCTCGCTTTATCGAACGACGACGATTCCGCGAGCGAAAGGTCATTTGTTGCACGAATGTAAATTCCAAGAATTTTTCCCCTACATATGACTCTTGACGCGTTTTTCTCGTTTTCAACGACATAATTCCGAAATCCCAACTAAGCACCGAATAGTCAAGAGAGAGAGAGAGATAGAGAGATAGAAAGGGAGAGAGAGAGAGAGAGAGAGAGAGAGAGAGAGAGAGAGAGAGAGAGAGAGAGAGAAGTGAGAGCGGAAAAAAGGAGGGAGAGAAAGAGAAGAAAGAATGAAAGAAATGTTTAACTGATAACGGTTTAATTGCGTAAGCGTTTTGCACACTTTTGTGACCACCAGCAGACATCGCGAGTAATTGCTTCGTTAGCTGAAGTGCTTTGTATGAAATTTAGAAAGAAAGGAGATAATCGCATAACTATTGAATTATCTCAGAAATAAAAAAAAGAATTACGTCTGGATATACTTTTGCAATGCGCGATGAAGCAAAGAGAAACGGCTTTTGTGCACTATCGTTGACATGCGTTAATGAATCCTGTTGTCAGACTTGTTTTTCCCGAAACGTCAGAACGTCGAAACAAATTCCTTTGGTGCCATTGTCGATTTAACGTTTTCTCTCGCGGAAAAATTTTCAGACGAGAGATAATCACGACGTTCCCACGCGCCTCAAAGTCAGGAAGTAGCTGAGTGTCACGTTGTTTTATTATAAACTTACTTCATTTTACTCACACATACACACATACACACACACACACATACGCATATTACAGTGTCTTAATGTATTGACTATTTTAGCGCTTACGAGCTGCTATTTTACTGAACATCCGTTAAACAATACAAACTTTAAATTACAGTAATTAAATAAGCAGGAACTAGTCCAAACATTCAGTGTTTACGGAGGTGTGTTTGTGTAGCGTGGCAGCTACGTGACATTCACTACACGAAAGGTATACGGTACATCAGATATGCATAAGATAGCGGCATTTTGCTGGGAAAGCTCGGTAAATAAGTAACAAGTAATATACACGGAGGATTCCAGTCGAAATAAGCATATTTATATCAACAAGAGTTAAGCTGAAATTTGGCAGACGCTGGCACACATGTACTCTATCTCTCTCACACACACGCATACTCGCGTGCGTGCATACAGCCCGGATGCGCTTCGATAGATTCTCGCGAAAAGCGCAATGTCGACATCTACTTCTTCGCGAGATTTCTCTTCGGATCGAATTGGATTTCGGAATTTACATTTATATTCACGCTTGTTGATTCGTCTCTTACGTATATATAGTTTACATTTATCTTATATTCCTGATTGTCCGTCTCTCGCTTGTGTTTTACTTTCATATACATATATATAGGGTGTATAAAAAGTACGGGGACGGTAAAATATCACAAAAACTAACTGGACTAGCTAAGCTGGACATCTTATCATAAAAAGCTCGATAACTTCGAAACGGTTTATTCAAAGAGAAAAAAGTTATAGTATTTTGAAAAGGTCTGAAGAAGGGCTACAAGAATATGCAATAAAAAATAGGAAGTCCCATTTAAAAAATACAAACTGACCTCGTCTTGACCTTGGCGACGTCACTCAAGCTCAAACTCATAACATCAGTAAATAGATCTTTTAAAATCTTACAATTTTTATTTGAAACATTTTTTTCTAAAATGCTTGATTTTTGTGATATTTCGCCGTCCTGATATTTTTTATATACCCTATATATATATATATATATACAGGGTGCACGATTTATCTGAAGACATTGAAATATCTCGAGAACTATGCATTGGATAAAAAAAAGTGGTTAATGAAAGTTGTTAGCCTCGAAGGGGGACATCCAATGATACCAAACTCGACCTCCCACCCCACTCCCTGGGGGTGGGGGTTGGGGGCAACTTTGAAATCTTAAATGGAAACCCCCATTTTTTATTGCAGATACGGATTCTACCCCACAAAATACGTAAATTTTGTCCGAAACTTTTTTTTTTATTCGTGATGGCGCTGTAATCGCAAAAAATTATATTTTCCGCAATTCTCCAGAAATGATCATTGGATTGAGAAATAAAAAATACCTGTTCAATATTTTTAAAGAACATAATAAAAGTTATTCCCCCCCCCCATCCTCTCGGAGTAGGATGGGTGATAACGTTCAAATCTCAAATGGGGACCCACATTTGGAGACCACATTGGGACTGCATTGCACTGCCTTTTATAATAAGCCGTAGTTCGCCATACACCCACAGTGGCGCGTCGAGCAGTTCCCTCTTCGATTCGGGTTCCGTTGGAAATAGAAAGATTAATCAACTCAAACTGAAAAGAAAAGTCAAGTACTATTTTGCAAAAATCACAAGTTAAGGATTGAAAATAACCGCAAGAGCTTTCTTTAATTGATAACTTGAAAATTTGCGTACTTATTTGCAAAATGGTAAAAAACTCTTTTATTTAGAATGACCTAACCTATTTAGCGATGGATATGAATATATTGAACTTTGAACCTTGAATGTTGATCTATCGCTAGGCACAATAGCCGTCATATAATTGTAGATTATCATTCTGAACAACAAAGTCCTTTACCATTTTGTAAACAAGTCGCACACAAATTTTCAAATTATCAATTAAAAGAGTCTTTAGATGTGGTCATTTTCAATCATTAGTAACTTAATAACTATTGCGATTTTTGCAAACTGGTACATGACGTTTCTTGTCAGTTTAACGTTTCTTTTCAGTTTCTTCTCAGTTTGAATAATCTTTACAATTTTTTCGTTTCTAAAAGATCCTGATCTACTCTGTATATACAGAGTGTCCCATTTCAAAAAACGCACTTCGATAATTCTTCAACAAAGCATTTCAAGCAAAAATGTTTCGGACAAAAGTTATATGATTTCAAGGGGGACATAAAACAACTATATTATTTTGTTTACAAATGGGATCATTTTCGAAATATTCACTGTTTATTACTTTTCTTAAATGGAAACCTCAATTTTTTATTACACCCTTTTTTTTTACCAATTAATTTGAACAACTTTTGTCTGAAACATTTTTTTATTTGCCTAATATTTTTTGAGATATTTAAGGAAAACTTGGTAATTTTTTTAATATTTAGCTTGCGATATCTCGACAACTATTTATCAGAAGAAAAAATGATACTAGACTTTTTATTTTTTTGGTCTTAAAAATATATTGTTATAATAATGCTTTATCTTTTGTTAATTTGATAATTTTAAAATTTGCGAAGGTCAACAAATTAACAAAAGTTGAATATTTTAAAAGTAGCGCCATTTGTAAAATGTCTTATGTTTCCCTTCAAACAGAACTTTCGTCTGAAACATTTTTCCGTATCTTTTCGAGTGGATACTTGAGTGAATAAATTAAAATAAGCCACTCTGTGTGTGTGTCAATTATATTTATTTTAAACTCCTCATTATTAATGCATTTTACTTATATATTTACCCTACACTTTTGATTGTTGATTCGTCTTACATGTATTTAATTCACATTCATCTTAAATTTCTGATGGATTAAGATTCTAATTCGTCTTATTTAACTTACATTTACTTTACATTTCGGATTGTTAATCGCCCTTATATACATTATATATTCGATTCATATTTACCTCGCATTTCTGATTGATGAGATCCGTTTCACATGTACCAAACTCACGTCTTTGTTGAAATTTTCATTCGACCAAATATTCCCCATTCTCCTTCGCGCAAAGTTTCGCGTCGTTGGATATCGTTGCAAAGTGCAGCTGCAGCAGCGAAAAAGTCCAAAGTGCAAAATCGCCAGTCTCAGGTCTCGAGTTACGAGTTGCCGTATGTGTCGCCAGCGCGATCCCATCGAAGTCGCTACGTGATTCTTGCCAGGCGCGAAGGTAGTGCCAATGTACGTTATACATTTCACGTCATCCAATCCGAGGCTAGTTCCTTCCCCGTGGTAACTTGCTTACGTAATGTTTGCTCCTCACGAGAGACACAAACTCCCGGATGGCTACGCTTAAACTCCAAGTGCTATTCTTAATGGGACGTCATTTGCTCGCTCATAGGCGTGTTTTTCGTTTCTCACCAAACTTCGGTATTATATCTCACCGCGTGAGAGCTGTCGCGTAAATCGTACGATACACAACTCGGCAAGTCGGCGAAACCGCCATCGAATTTTGCGGTGCGTGAGAATGCCACTTCGCCGCGTGCTCCGTCGTTCTTGCCGTTCTCTTCTGCCACAGAGCGCGCCTTGTTATGCAAGCTACTCCGTAACTTTGCGATATATTTTATCGCGAGCAATAATTGCCTCGCGAGGGCTTTCGTCTTCCATCCTCGAGCAAACGTCTCGGGATTCATATCGCGAGCGACGCGTCGCAAAATGGCTGCATTCGCGAATGAAGAAATTACCGCACGTACCTTGTCTCCATGCCGTATAACGTACATATAGCGTGCGCGCGCGCGCGGATATTTCTACTACTCGCGCCGTACTAAATCTAGATTCCCGTTATTTAGTGTATTTATAAATTTCGATCATTACGATTTTTTGGGTGAATAACATCGAGCGACCTCGGTGTCCCTGGAAGATTAATAGCCCTTTTTACCGCAATTCCCGCGCGCTCCAAATGATCGCTCGCGCGTCCTGCATTTCACGCGCTTTAAATAATTAAGTAATTATATGTTCGGGCGAGCCGATCACGCACTGACATACACATACACATATACATATGGACAGACAGACAGACAGACACAAGAGAGATAAATCCACCTAAACTCGTCGACATGACGTCATTTAAATTTATCCGCTCAATACGGGGCGGATGAATAGGAGCGGATACGCGTTGCTCGACGCTCGTATTCGTCGGAAATACTCGCGCAACATCTACGCTTTGCCGGATATGCATTTGCTTGTTACAGACCATAGTTATGTATCCCAGACCAAACATCATCACATGCACTGTGCGCGTGTGGCTACGAGAAATTGGCTTTTCCCTCACATACGGAGCGCTGATGCTCAAAACGTGGCGGTAAGTGCATTCTACTCCGGCGACATTATTTTGGCCGCTTTGCCGCAATTAATTCTATTTATCTCTTGCCGAGTATAAAAGTCGCAAGCTTGCTGGCCAATTTCATTACTGCCGATCTTTCTGCGTTTACATCCCGGCGCTCTGCTCTCATTTGTTCTCATCGATTCCTTTTCTATGCTTCGACTTTCCACGTTCCATTTTCTATGTTTTTTCACGGTCGGTGTGATTAATCTCTTTTTCTTCTTTTTTTTTTTAATTATACGTTGTGCTCTGTAAATCAACATTCTTCTGTGCGTATTTACTTCTCCGTGAAAATTTATTATTTCTCACGATGCATGTAATCACGATGCTTGATCACATCGATCGACTGATTTGTTGATGAAAAGAGAAGAAGATAATATAATTAATGTAAACGCCTGGGTTTTGATAATTGCGGAATGTTAATATTATATAGTACACATATCTAGTAATTTGGTAATCGCGCGCCTCATCATATTAGCAAATCCTGGAATTCATAAATTCTTAAATTTACGAAATAATATTCTAATAACACTATTAATGCTCGGATATCAATAATTGCTGGATGTTAACGTCACATACATTTATATAAATTTATTGATCGCGCACTACCTCACTGCACCAGCGAGATCTCAAATTCACACATCCAAAAAAAATTCACACATCGAAAAAAAGTATTTTATTTGTAAAGTGATTTTTCCTATGGTCTCATATTCTAAGCAAAGCCTTTTACAGAAAAAGGATTCCTCTTTCGATAAAGCGATTAGAGTGAACCATTCATCTAAAATTTATTAGATATTATTCTATTTTCTTCTTATTTCAAGAAGATTTCCTCTTATATCAATTAATTTTCCTCTTATATGAAGAAGAATATGCTGATTTGAATGTCGGCTTCTTTTGTCCAATTATTCTCTACCTCCAGACATAAACAAAAAAATAATCATATGCTCATGGGTCAGAATATTTGCAATGCTTTTTAAAGAAAGTATGTGTATTGCTATAACATATAGCGAAGATAATTTATCCATATTTGGTCAAATATAGTTCATTAGGTCAAATATAGTATTTGGTCAAATATAATTTACCCATATTTGGTCAAATATAGTTTATAATCTATTGCAAGATGTTGAATAATATATTCTTTTTTTTTTACTATGTTTCATATAATTGGTTATGATGAACATCTTTGTAGTTATGAAATCTATAACAAAACTGATTGGAAATTTATTTGTTATGATGATCTTATTTCATTCGTGCCTACTTATTGTAGAAATGGAGCCAAAAGTGCATCTATATATATATTAATATATTACTTTCCGCTATATATTTTTATAATAATTTTTTCAAATTAATTAATATGACCAGTAAGAATAAAGTACAGTAAGAATAAATAATAATGCTCTTAAAAAAAGATTAAATAATCTGCATATAAGAGGAAATTTCTATTAAAATCAATAAAATTTGCATTATACATATAATATATAATCCTTTTAATTTTAAGAATAATATGTTTATAATATTTTCCTCTTAATCTTAGAGGAATCCTCTTGAGGTTATGTATAAGAATAAAATCCTTTAAAATTAAAATGATTCCGCTTGCACTGAAATTACTTTTTTCTGGGTGGCAAGTTCTCGAATTTATACAGTCACGTGTGCTCTCGAAGAGCCGCCGGTTTCTCTGTATTCCCTTGAAAGCACAAAGTTAACTCCACTGACAGTTTCTTTTAAGAGCTGCAGATCCGCTAAATAATCGAGAAATGACGTGCTCCAGACTAAAAGATGGATCGAACGAAACGTTTGCGATGTTCGCTCGCAGGATATCCGTGATCTTCCGAGTGAAATCGGCGAAAGCCGTGAAAATAACGGACGCGAGCCTGCTGAAGCGGCTGGGTATCATCGTTCTGACGTTCAGCGTATTCCTGAGCATAAGGACTCTAGTCGCGCCACCCGTCGTCATCGTTGCACGGACCGCCGACGATCTCAAAGCGTACCTCTGCCGAACTGACTGGTGGGACCACAGTTTCACTACTCGTGAGTGTGTGCTGTGAAACAGTTGCTTTAGATGTATATTCCGTCTACTTAAATAAAAAAAAAGGAGAGAGAGAGAAACAGACAGATCCGTAATCCCTCCTCGCGCGCGCGTTCTGTTTCTCAAAATAGCACGGAGCTTTATACGATTATACGGCGTATCTCTTTAATGAAATATAAGTGTGGCTGGGGCTACCGTGTGTAATGCGGGAAGCAGGTGGCATGGATTAACTTCGCTTTATAGAACGATCGATCTCGTATGCGCACGTACATAAGAACGCGATTGAAAGTTCGGCGGTCAAGCCGGCGCAGTGTTGCGAAACCTCCAAATAGTGGCCATAAATCATATTGTCGCTATAATGTACTATAGTTGAATGAAAGGCATACTATATTGTAGATACTAGCATTTTATCACTAAAATAACATGTTTTTTAATTTTATTATTTTATTCTTTACTTTTTTTATTTAAAAAAATTTTTGTTTTTCTTTTACTTTTGTTTTTTATTTTTTTTAGTTTTTATCTTCTGTTTTTTATTTTATATAATTATTAACTAAACAAAATATTTTATAAAACTATTTCATTATCCGAAACTGCATTTGCTACAATTGGATTTGTAAGCAATTCAATAACTTCTTTAGGGAAGGGATCGGCTTTTTTATTTCAAACTTTTTTTAAAGATAAAATGATGGGATCTGAGGAAAGAAGAAGTCTTTTAAATAAATCTTCATTCGTCGCAATTCTCGAGTTTTTTCTTGTATGATACTCTCTCATATCTCTACTTTTTACTATTGTTTATATCTTTATTTTTACTATTGTTTACTACATTATTTAATTAGAACTTAAACATTATCATTAATTATTATATTTGTATTTAACATTAGCAAAATTAACTAGAATAAAGGATTTTGATAGAGGATATAAAAGGATTTTGTATTGAACAATATTACCTGCAGTAGAGCGTTTGACCGTAAGCGCACTGAATGTCGAACTCTGCTCATAAAATTTATCATATTTTTGTAAGCTCTGGATATCGCTCTTTCTACCTTTGCATAAGGATTAGTAGATATTTTATCTTTATTTTTACAAAGGTACAACATGATGTGAAATGATGCAATTTTTATATATCACGATATAAGTGATTAACTGTATATAAAAAGTGAGTCCTGTAAATCTAATTTTTATTGTATATACTTATAACTTTCTAATATACTCTTTATTGGAAATAAAATTACACAGATGAGATATTAAACAGGGAACATCATTTTCATGATAAAAAATTGTTTCAACGCAAAATCAGTTATATCATTTGGAGGGTTATAACCCAGCTATTCTTTACTTCGCATCACGTGTACATTTTAATTCACTTATCTTCGTGATATAATTGGATCAAAATGTTACTACAACTTATTAATTTGGACTTTTTAGAAAATACGTTGAAAACAGGAACCGAAAATTTCGCTTTTTATTTTTTCCTATTTTGGCCACGTTTAGCGATTTCTGCAACACTGTGCGGCGGATCAAACTAGGAGGGTGCGTGTGCGAATAAGAAGACGTCGCGCCCTACGTCCCGCTTCGATTTGAACTTCGCAGCGGGGAAATTCGCAACAGATTTCGCCTCGCGAGAACCTTGTTTATCGAAATATTTAATATCAGCAGTCGAAGAGAGAGCGCTTCTCGATCAAGCGGCGAGAGCGGCGGGAACGGACGATCGGTCAAAATGGATTCGAGGCGAAAGAAAACTCCAGAGAGCGCGAGAATTTGCCGAGGAAACTTCCTCTCCTTCTCCTCCTCCTCCTCCCATGGGGAGAAAAAGGAGGAAAAAGAGAGAAAGAGAATAAAAGGGAGGAAAAAGAAAACGGGCCTATGGGACGCGCAGTGCGCACGAGGCGTGAAAGTGGGTATTCGTCTCACTATGTACCAGCTCCCTATGCTTTGTCACAGCCATAAGTTCTCGCATTACACCATGGCCGCGCGCATTAGTTCGCATTACTATCCTCCCTCGCCGTCGCAGGAAGCCCTTCTTCGCCTTCCTGTGTGCGTCAAGGTATATGCGCGTTTCGCAAAACGCTCGATGGCTCGTCGCCGATGGCACGATCACGTCTCCCGCCGGTTGCAGGGGGGCGCACCGGGGGAAATCTCCCGGCGATCAATCAGATCGAATCACATGGAATCGGACAGAGAGTTCGGTTTAACGGGTCGCGTGTGTATCTTGCACGTTCATGCCCGGCGAATACGGGCATTACGACGGATCAAAGCGCATTAATGCAGCGATATATATATAATATGAGATATGGTAGCAGTAGCAACAGCAGGAGGAGGAGGAGGAGGAGGGGGAGGGGAGGGAGAGAGCTGTGCACACACGAGCCGTATTGATTTAGTAGTACTGCGAATGGCCGAACGCGATTTTAAATCAAGATGGACAGTACGCTAAGGAGGGGAGGATGACCTCGCGTAGTCGCGATTAATTCATGACCTCTGTCTCCTCATCGGCGAGCAACGACGATGTGACGCGGGATGCTTCTCTTATTAACAAACTCTCCGCCAAGCCCGCGAAACTCGTATATTTAAGTGCACCCCGTGTTCGCGATTAGAATTTCCACTTTCGGTTCGAGCGATGTGACACAGCCGTTTCCTCTCTCCCTTTTCGTTCCCCCCCCCCCTCTCTCTCTCTCTCTCTCTCTCTCTCTCGTTACTTTGCGCATGACATCACGTCGGACGTGCGAATTTAAGTTCCGGAAAAGCCGCGGTTTCTGCCGCGTCGTCGCGGACCCGTGAGTGCTCAGGCGCATCGGAGCCGCTGCGACGTCGGGTCGACCGCGCGTTTGCCGATTGCGCCCGTACGTTGGATCTACCGGATCCGACGACACATATAGAGAGAAGGACCAAGTATTCCTGTACGCCTCTGTTATATGCAGCAGCGGCTGAAGCCAGAAGTTGGCAATTTGAGACAGAGCGAGAAAGTTGTTTTAATCACAGACTTCTATATATTAACTGGACTGCTGACTCTGGACGATGGGCGGGAGTGGGATGGTGATGAGGGATGACCACCATGACATTCTGAATGTGTACTATCTCTATACAGGGTATCTTAAAAAGACCGGAACCCCCAGATAACTTTGCAGAATTAAGTTTTCATGAAAAACTTTAAATACAAAAGTTGTAGAAAATCGAGTAACGGACTTGATGATGACCATGGATTTGACTTTGGCCATGACCTTCAAGGTCATTTATAGGTCAATTTGCGTCTTTTTAATGAGAATCCTTATTTTTTATTACACTATTTTTTTCTACCAATTAATTTGAACAACTTTTGTTTAAAACATTTTTTATTTGCCTAATATTTTTTTAGATATTTGAGGAAAACTTGATAATTTTTTCAATATTTAACTTACGATATCTCGCTAACTATTTGTCGAAAGAAAAAGTGGTATAAGACTTTCTTGTTTTATTTAGTCTAAAGAATATATTGTTATAATAGTGCCTTGATTTTTGTTAATTTGATGATTTTAAAATTTCCAAAAGTCAGTAAGTTAACAAAAGTCAGGGCGCTATTATAACAATATATTCTTGAGACTAAATAAAGCAAGAAAGTCAAGTACTATTTTTTCTTTCGACAAATAGTTAGCGAGATATCACAAATTAAATATTGAAAAAATTATCAAATTTTTCTTAAATATTTCAAAAAATATTAAGCAAATAAAAAAATGTTTCAGATAAAAGTTGTTTAAATTAATTGTTAGAAAAAATAATATAATAAAAAATTGGAATTTCCATTTAAGAAAAGTTATGATCAGGGAGTATCTCAAAAGTGGCGTCAAACAAACTAATATAGTTGTTTTATGTCTTCTTTGAAACTATACAACTTTTGTCTGAAATATTTTTTTCTATAAAATGTTTGGTTTTTGAGATATTTTGCCGATCCGGGACTTTTTGGACGTCCTGTACATGCCTTAGACCTTCTCATGTATTTAGCAGTTATTTGGCATAATATTATCGGTCCTTTCGGCTATATATAGATAAATATAAATTTGAATTGCAATGCGTATGCGGCATTCATGAGGAAATATGTCTTTTTGTCATGAAATTCGAACGATGACTGAAGTTTTCTCTAGAAAATATCTTAGAGAGTCTCTTTACCGGTTCCCGTTGGAATTTAACAGTTTCCATATAAAAATTTCGTCCGACACGCAAACGGATTATACGTTATCGATTCATAACTACTTTAACCCTTTGTGTGTCGTAGAGTGCAAATATTACCATCTTTTTCTCTTTCATTTTTATAACATACTGTTTACAGTTTAATGAAAATAAATATAATCTCACATTTTTATATATATTAATATTTATATTTACTTTATTATATTAATATTTACTTTACATGTTCTCTATACTCTTTATATCCGCTTGTTTATTTTTAATTACTTATGAACAAATAAAACTGAAAAGAGCGATTTAAAGAAATGTAATTTCTTGGAAAGTATTTAAGATTGAAGGCTGAAAATTTTACTGAATATTCTTCATATGTCAAAATATAATATAATTTTCCAGAGATTTTTGTACGTCAGATTTTCTTTATAAACAAATTGAATGAGTTTTGTAAATTTAATATGAAATTTGTAATCAACGATCTGAAAAACTTTTATATCTGATTTATATTTATTCACACTTATACTTAATTTACTCTTATATGGCAGCTATATTGGATCTGCCATTTTGAAATCTGACTTTAGATTTGTAATCAGCAACCCAAAAAACATAGAAATGCAAAATTCCACAGAAATTCGTCAAGTAGAAAAAATATATCACACAAAGAGTTAATTAGGAACTAGTTGCGTCATCTTGCGTTTTGAAATTATAAATATTCGTCTTTCATGCACTTTGTCCTTTTCGCATTTAGTTCTTTTCTTCTTTTGTGTGTAGCTTGAATATTTATTGTCTATCAACACGTATAGCATTCATAATTAATAATATAAAAATAGCGCTTTCAAATTTTTGATTATGTTATGCATTACGAATTCTGATATTAACTTTGGCAGTGACTGTTGGTACAATTTATATATGTATGAGTAAACTTGGAATGATATGGCACCCCCCCCCTCCTCCAACTTGGAACACTATGTGGAAATTCAGCAGTCTAGTTAATACATAGAAGTTTATAATTTTGATGCTGCAAGTTTTTCAGTTTAGATAAGAGCGACTGTAAGAATTAATATATCGCTTTATTAACGTAACTTTTCCAACAAGTACCATATTCGGAGACATAATTAAAAATATCGCGTAGTAAGCGACTTTAGAAGAACGCTATATACAAGATATCCAAAAATTAATCAATGAAATCGCATTTATGTGAAATGTTATGCCAAGTAAATCTGTCACAATATTTTATTTATTACATTTATTATTTTAATATTGCACAATTATTATTCATACACAGCATAAAATATTATAGATGTCAACGCTGCATCTAGATAAATTATAATGTACAGTTATAAATTTACAGTTTTACTTTTTTAATCCCGTGTTGCTTTGTACAACACTTGACAGCACTAGAACAAATATGGCGGCTCTTGATAGTCGCGCTAAGTTAGAGTGGGGAAGCAACAGAGTCAAGATAACTTTTTCACTTTGTCTCAAACTGTCACTTCCGACTTCATCTTGTGGGAAGAAAATGTTTGGTCTATCTACGTGTACACAGCAAACTCCAAGAATGCCTTCCACTTTCGATCGGGATACTTCGGCTCGGAGGTGCATCGTATCTACAGTGAATGCAAAAAGTATTCGTACGGGGGAGATTTTTTTGAAAAACTTATTTTTAGATAATGAACTTCAATTAACAATTTAAGAATGAATGTAATACATGCTATATTTCTCAATATTATTATAACAAAAGGAATGTAATAATTGAAATATATCGTCTTAATAATTAACAGAAACGAAAACTTATATTAATTCAGTGCGCAGAAAGTATTCGTTATACAGTTGAGAAATTTAGCTTCTAGGATCGTGAACGCAAATGTTTACGTGGAACTCTTTTGTTTACCGTAGGAATACGTGTTTCATTTCTTATGATCCTCGAAAGACAAACGATTTGTTAGTATTATTGCGTTATTTGAACAAAATGGGCTGTAAAAAAAAGCAAAGAGAATAGCGAAGAAGAACGGGAAATTATTATTAAATTACATAATTAGTGTAAGTCTCTGCGGGAAATTGCTCAGCTCATCGATAAACCTCGATCGACAATCCAGTCTAGTCAATAATTAACCGTTTCTACAGAACAAAAACAGTTAAAAATAAACGAAGAAACAGCCGACTGCAAGCCTTAACTAAAAACCGACAAACGTTTTATTCTTTGCTAAATAAAGCTGAATCCAAAAGCGAGTGCTCCAAAGATTGTGACCGAACTAAAAAATTACGGTGTAGATTTCCATTAACACAGTTCGGAATGTGTTGCGGGAGAATGGATATTATAGCCGTGTTATCAGGAAAAAGTTTCGGGTAAATGTGATTAATCACAGAAAATTAGAACTTGCGAAACAACGTCTCAATGAAACGAATAAATACTGGAACACGATTATTCTTTCAGATGAAAGCAAATTTATTATTTTTGGCTCTGATGGTAGGTGTATAATACGGCGGAAAAGAAAAATAGAGATCCAAAAAAAAAATATATAGGTTATTGACTTTCCACGTAAAATGTGTCCCACAAAGTATTAATTAAATTGTTTGAATTAAAAGAGAAGTATACGAATACTTTCTGCGCACTGAATCAATAGTTCAGGTTTCCATTTTTGTTATTTATTAGGACGATATATTTCAATTACCACGTTCTTCTTGTTATAATAATATTGAACCATACAGCATATATTACATTTATTGTCAAGTTGTTAATTAAAATTCAGTTTTTACGAAAAAAAATAAGAATTTTTTTAAAGAAATCTTCCCTCTATGAATACTCTTTGCACGCACTGTACATATCTTGGTCTATCTACATATATTTGTCTGATTTTTCCTGAAGCCAACAGTCTGATACAAAGATACTGATATATAGATACGATGCGGCCGAGCCGAGATATCCTAGCCGGAAGTGGAAGGCGTTATTGGAGTTCTCCGGATGCCGTCGGCCGGATCCTACGGCGAATCGCGCGCTCGCGGATCTTAGAGATTCGCAGACTCGCAGCCGCAACTTGAGCGTGCACGGGTCAAATTCGCGCAGATTCTTCGATTTACAGAGTCGTAACTAGGGCATGACGTAATTGGTGTTTACTTTGACTTTTACACGTGTAAGTCGTGCCGCTAAGGCAACGGCGCAAATTGAAATTCCAGCCGTAGACGCAAATAAGCGCTAGCTACGGCTTTGCATTTCTCCGGCAAAACACTCGCAGCTGTCACTGGAACTAATGTGACTTGAAATTTAACGTGATTTCAGTCGAGGTGATGTTCCTAGTGTGGGGCATCCGCTTGTGCATCGTAGTAAGAAAAACTCCGTCGGAGTTTAATGAAAGCCGATTCATTTCAATGGCGATTTACAACGAATTTCTATTGTCAGTCTTCCTCAACGTTTCAATGTAAGTCCGCGTTGCAAGCTCGCCCTTTGTTCCTCTCTCCTCCCGCTGTGTTTTACTTATGGAATCGCCGATTATAGAACTATCGGTGTATGCTCGCGAGAGGCTGTTGCGTGTTATCGACATCGTTATTGATATTATACACATTGTAGTCGTTCTTCTGATTATGTAAACTGATTACGTAACGGTATAATGTGAGTTTCGCGCAAATTTCTGATTAAATCTCACGTAGATCAATTAGTTTATTCTCCGCCAGCATTGGGAAGTGACGCGCTGTTACAAGCTATTTTTTTTCGGCAACAATTTCGGCAATGACGTTATCTCTTTTCGTTAGTAACGGTAACACTAACGCAATTATATATTTCGTGTATGGATAGTGGTAACGACTAAAATCGTTATTTTCATCGTTACTTTGTTATCATATATTTGGAATATACATAAGAGAAGAATTTTCAAACTTGGTGAAAAGAAAATAATGGAAATTATGTAACGAATCGTTATTTCTTGAGTAACGGTAGCAGAAATGAGTCACTCGTTGACGGTAACGGTAACACTTTTCAAAATAAACTTTCCCAACTCACTGTCCCTCATATAAACTTAATCTCGAAATCATACTCTCTAAAACTGAATCAGTGAAACTCACTGTCAATCAGCGATTATGCACTGATTGTCAGTGCTAAATATACTACTGCATTTTTCAGTGGTATACTTTTAGAGAGTAAGTTCGCTCGTCCGAATCGATCCTTACTTTTAATATAAATTCTGCTAATACGGAATTAGCAATTTCACGACGTCTCGTCCGTTCTGCGATTTAACAGCGGGTCCCTTATCAAATTAGCAGCTCCTTCGACGAGAGCTTGATTAATTGAAGCAACGATAAAAATTACTCTCTCGTTCTGTCTTTTTAACGTCCGACATTATACGACGATAAGCATGACGACAGATCTTTATGAAAGTATCGAGAAAGAGAAAATTCTTACTGCTTTACTTGAGGGCGCATTCTCCACCGGGGATCTCAGTAACTTCTTGTCAGGGAAAAGCGTTTCCGAAGACATCCATTTCAGACATGTGTCGTTAAATTCATACAGCGAATGTCCCGTCGCGCGATTCAACGTGTCACAAACGCGATTTGAATTTTCGAGAGATGAAAGAACGAGCAGAAATAACTCCGGCAAAATCTAGAACGCTCGGTATATAGCGGTTCTTACGTCATGATAACACTTCGTGCGGCTAACAGCTCTGAATAATTTCTTTCCCGTTGCTGCAGGTTGTTCCTGCAATCGCCGGCCAATCCGGATTTATTGTACATCATATTTTTCTGCCATACCCAGCTTACCGTCACATTGCTGCTGTGCCTGATATTCGGCAGTAAAGTAAGAAATATTATTTACACGCGTTTACTATGAAGTCGTTATATCTCCCAGCCCAATGCTCGCAGTTGTTACCTGTATCGATCGCTCTACATCGAAATTTTCCGCACGTATTCCTGTATCTATCGTTGTTATCATACCTATCGCGTTACTCTTGAGCTTCAGGTATCGCACGATTAAAATAATCACCAACAACTGCGCCGAATAGATTAATTATTAATAATTAATGACAATTATATAATACGACAAGGTGTTTAAACGCGAGAAATTTTAACAGCAAATTCTTTGAGTACAGAAACGTTTTTCAAAGATACCCGAGCAAAAAATTATTAAGGCCATCCTTATGAAGCATAAGGCCCCAATAAGACTGAAAGTAGGATGCCCTAAAAAGGGATGTCTCATTAATGTCACATCAGGCCCCGAAATGGATCTTTTAGATATATCTTAGATTTTGCAAAATAAGGCTTTGATAAGGAAAACTGCCGATGAGTGCCTTAGAAGAAGTACCTCAGATTTAATAAATAAGGCTTTGGTAGGGAAAACTAATAAGGATCTTAGAAGGATCTTTTAAGGATGTTTTAGATATACAAAATCAAGTTTTGTTATAGAAAATTAATAAGATTTGAAGCCTGTAATGAAATTGTCATAGTTTAATATTGTTTTAGTAGATGCTCTCTCTATCTGGTTCTTTTAAAATTTTTTTAATTATATACTATACCGCAATTATATATTATATATATAATATAATTATAATTATATATATAATAATATATATTATATATATATAATATTATATATATAATATATAAATATATATTATACCGCAATTAAAAACAAATTTTATTAGTTTTATTAGTTGCCATATTCATTAGTTTCTTGCAAGAATTTTTCTAGTAATGTTTTCGTTTTGAATGCAGCAAACTTTAACAAAAACAGTAGCAGAATTTTATGTGTAAAGAATGTTATATTTTACTGTAAAATATATTATATATTTTAAATCAAAAATTCTTATTGTACTAACGTTATAACTAAAGTTATAAAAAAATAAAGAAATTACAGTCTAAATTTCTTAGAATGAAAAGAACGAATATTTTTACGCAAGCAATAATAAAAATATTTCTTTATAAGGCCCTGTTAATATTGCCTTACAAGGACCTGTTAAACCATTACATATCTTATAAGGCTTTTGTCTTTTTATCCTTACTAGGGCCTGATTAATGTTAGAGAAAAATAATCAGATCTTTACAGGAGTCCTATTAATTTTTCTACTCTGGTATCGGCGAAATCTTCAATTCTTCTTCAAAAAAAGAAAAGAAACTTAAACTTTATATCAATTACAAAACCATCGAGTTTGCAATTTTTTTCCGCAGGAAATTTCTTTCGCGGAAGAAGCTCGATTTGCGATAGAGAAATAATTCATGAATAAACAACTTGTTACTCATTTCGTGATGTCGTTGTAGCAAAAATTGAGAATGCGGTGGCGCATAAAGACGAAAAATAAAATTCAATCGGAGCGAAATGAGATTAGATCGCACAATTTCCGCCTCGTACTCCCCTCGCATCGTAGCTGGTGCAAGATTACCGCAAGTCCTCGCAGTCTGAATAGAAACCTCCGTAGCTACGTAAGTTTGGTTGTTACATATGTCGCATTTAACGAAGGCTTACGTGGTATTCCGCGGCGGGGGGAAGGAGGAGACGATCGGCAAACTTTGCGGCGCGACCGGCAAGTTCCTGGGGAAAAGCAGTCGTCCGCAGGGCACCAGTAACCAGACCAACTCGATATCCCTTCAGCAGGGTAATTTTGCTGAAGAAAGCGACTCAGCCACGGTAAGCATCGCCTCCGGTAAACCCGGAATCCCCGGATCCTCCGAGCCGTAGAGCCGGAAGCACGGCGCGCTTTTCCTCCTAGTTAAACATTCTCGCACGGGCAAAACTAGAATCGATTCTTCCTCGCTGAATTTCTCTCTAGTCTACCGCTGCGGATCTCAGAAGTTGGAAATTTTAGAATTCCGGAGTCTCTCGGTGTTCCGAAAGCTCCGAACGTGACAATGTCCGAACCCTTTGAACCTTCAAACGTCAAAGCTGTCCGACTTGGCCCGTATCTTGGAATTTCAAGATCCTTGAGCCTCGGAAGCTTGGAATTTCGTGGCACTTTGAAACGTCGGGAGTCTTACGAGTTGAAAACCAAGAATTTCAAAACAAAGAGGATGTAGGTCTGCGGAAAATTAAGATCTCAGGGCCTTGGGACATTAGGAACCGGTGATCTCGTAATTCACGAAGACTCTTCCCGCAAAAGTGAAACATTTCAACGCTCTCGCGCAACGTAAGCTTGAACTTTGATAACAAGAAATATTTCTGTCCAGGAGGAGTTTCGCCGATTGCTCAACCAGTTAGAAGTCCTGAAGGAGAAGAACGTTTTGCTAGGGAATCAGGAGTTAGTCAGCAAGTTAGCGGCCATGCTGGACGTTTCGAATCGCGTCGAAGCTCAAGTGTCCACGATTCAAGCCATCTCGACCAGCATTGTTCAGTTGAACGATCTCAATAAATCAACGGAAGAGACCAGCGTTGGACAAGTTTGTCAGGAGAAGGATCAAGCAGGTAGGAGTGAAATAAAGTTTTATCTGATCGTTTAAAACACGCGTACGGCGCTTTTCGCGTAAAGTCAGCGCGATCGCACGATAATGCGTCACAATGTCCTTCCTGCTCGGGAATAAAGTTCTCAAGACGAGAAAAGTCATTTCTTCTGTATAAATATATCTGAGATTGTAACAGCCGAATATATAGGTTGTTTAAAAGAAAAAGTTCAGGACTCTAAGAGCAGATAGTACTCACAAAATGGAGGAAAGAAATTCTGATAAACGACAGAAAAATTAATACTGTCAGAATTACGAACAATTATTTTTTTTTAATTAACACGTTCGCAACATCGTGACCCATTGGTGGGTCACACTGATTTATATTAATAGACGTGCGTATCCACCGATGGGTCACACACTATGAAGCATTGCATTGACTAAGATGAAAGCAAAGCCTTTTGTTATAAAACAAACGCAAAGAAGCAATATATTAAAAAATATTGGGTGTAAAAATTAGTTCGATCCGTTTTCAAAAGATGGCTCCGGCTATTATGAATGATTCATAGTGACTGCCGATTTTGGCGGTTTCAGAGAGGTTAGACATCTGCCAATAATATTCAGTTTATATCGCTTTGAGTTTCATACAAAAACCTTGCTTTTTACAGTGTTGAAAATGTCGAATTTTGTGTTAAGCAGCATTTGCGGGAGGTTTTAATTTTCTGCTTTAATTGGAAGAAAAGAGCAGCTGAAGCCCATCGAATGCTTGTTGAAGTTTATGGTGACGCTGCTCCAACTGATAAATCATGTAGGGAATGGTTTCGACGTTTCAAGGATGGAGATTTCAGCGTCAAAGAGAAGCCTCGCTCTGGACAGCCAAAAAAATTCGAAGATAAAGAATTAGAGGCATTACTCGAAGAAGATCAGAATCAAACGCAAGAGGAGCTTGCAGAATCATTGGGAGTGATTCAACAAGCCGTTTCGGCGTCTTTTGAAGCGATCCAAACTTGGATCGCTTCAAAAGACGAATCATTTTTCCGTACGATTGAGAGACATGGGATTTATTCAAAAACAAGGAATTTGGCAGGTCACCGGTTCACTTCTTTCGCAGATATCGAAAATTGGCTCCAAACTTGGATCGCTTCAAAAGACGAATCATTTTTCCGTACGATTGAGAGACATGGGATTTATTCAAAAACAAGGAAATTGAGTGCCTTATGAACTGAAACTGAGAGACGTTGAAAGGCGATTTTTCACTTGCGAGCAGCTGATTCAAAAGCAACAAAGAAAAGGTTTTTTGCATCGGAATTGTAACTGGAGATGAGAAGTGGATATTTTACGACAACCCCAAGAAGAAAAAATACTACGCCAAGCCCGGTCAATTATTGCCATCGACCTCAACATCAACACAAAAGCCGAACATACATGGTTCGAAGATCATGCTCTGTATCTGGTGAGACCAAAAGGGTGTTGTTTATTATGAGCTGCTGAAACCTGGAGATCCCATTACGGGCGATCGGTATCGGTTACAATTGATTCGTTTGAGTCGTGTATTGCGAGAAAAACGGCCAGAATACGAGCAAAGATATGATAAAGTTATTCTTTTTCATGACAACGCTCGGCCTCATGTCGCAAAAGTCGTAAAAAAATATATGTAAACGCTCAAAGGGGATGTTTTACTGCACCCGCCGTATTCTCCGGACATTGCTCCTTCTGATTATTGGTTGTTCCCAAGGATCACAATTTGGCAGGTCACCGGTTCACTTCTTTCGCAGATATAGAAAATTGGCTCCAAACTTGGATCGCTTCAAAAGACGAATCATTTTTTCGAGATGGAATTCGAAAATTGCCTGAGAAATGGGAAAAAGTAATAGCCAGCGATGGAAAATACTTTAATTGATTTGTTCATACATTTTGTTTTGAAATAAATACATTTTTTAACACAAAAAAACGGACCGAACTAATTTGTACTCCCAATAAATTGTGCGTCCTTTAGAGTGAACCAATGGATTTATTGATTGTCGCGAACGTGTTAAAGCAAATGACTCGTTTTTGGTGCGCGTATACGAAATACATATATGCCATTTTCTGACTAGAATAATACGATATCATTCTTACCGTACTGTGAAAACATTAAAAAATACTAGAAGCACCAGAAAAGCATTAGGAGCGAGCAAGTCACTTGCTCTAATTAAAATAAGTAATTGTTCATAATTCTGACAATATTAATTTTTCCCCATGTTTATTAGAATTTTTTTCCTCCATTTTGTGAGTATTATCTGCCTTTAAAGTCCAAAATCTCTTTTTTAAACACCCTGTACATATGAAATAAAAGAAAACTTCTTCAATTTAAACGGATGGAGGAATACGGTTCGATCAAAATTAATTAGGAGGAGAAATTTTGATAAATTAGTTATATTAATCCGAGCGACTGCTTTATTCATATTGAAATATTTTTGTCCGTATTAAACAATATTAAAAGCAATAAGAACTCAAGAAGAATATCCTCTTCAACGATTGAACGATGAGAGAGGCAAACAACAAATAATTTCAGAGTAACGCAATCCGATTACAACCTTGCGCAAAAAAAGAAAAGGAAGAGAAGAAATTGTAGCCAGTTAAATTTTTTGTAAAAGGAGAGCCCAAGGCACCGCGCGGTAAGCGCAGTCTATATTTCAAAGTCGCACAGAACGGTTTATTAATTTCGGGTTACGTTCACATAGAGCTTTGTGAATGAGGGTAACACGCCTCGATTTGTTCAGGAAACGGTTCTCAGGGCGAAAATCGATGTCGCGCATGCATCGAAAAGAACGGTATCGGACTGAAGGACACGCAAGATCCTACGAAGGATAACGAGATGTCGGATACGAAGAAAACTAGCAAGGACATCGCCATGTCGACATCCTCGAGGCACGCTACCGAGGACGTCGATAGGGAAGTGTGTCACGGAAAGGATAACGGTAAAGAAACGGACACAAAGGACAAGTCCAGGGGCAAGTCTGGTCATGCCCGAACACACGCCATAGTTATCAACCTCGACGACAAGAGCAGGTTTTCCGAAGAAGTTACCGTGTAACGTTAAATGTCGCGTCGTCGAGTAAAAAATAAATAAATCGATCGAAACGCAGGGTGTAATTCTTCCGAGTATAATCGACCTCGGTCGCGCTTCTCCGTTTTTCTTTTCGTCGCGAATAGCATTCCTCGTCTCTGACCGTGCGACTTAAAAAAGTACCTATACATAATTATCAATCTTAGATTCTTGAAGAATTGAACGCTTTACCTTCCTTCTCTGTTTCCTTCCTTCCTAGCTAGAATTGACTATTAATAAGGTGAGATTTATTCTTAGATAAAACTGACATATTTCACCGTTATTATACAACTATTCTATAAAAGAAAAAGAAACTAAATTTTAACGCTAATGTACTCTTTTTTTCTCTTTCTCTCTCTCTCTCTCTCTCGTCCCTTCTTTTTGTAATTTGTAAATTCATATCATTATATATAATTCGAAGTAAAGCTTACGACACCTCTCGAATTAATATTAATTAAACAATCTCTCTCTTCCTCTCTTTCGATTAACGAATATAATAATGATTTCAAAGACAAACCGGGGATTTTAATTACCGAACAGTGTCTCTCGCGCGCAAATTACATAGATTCTTAAATATGCTCTCTCCTTAATTATGAGAAGAAAATCGTTGAAACCGGAATAATTTCCTCTATATAATCGGTTATTCGAACAACTCTTTAATCGTTGGGAAGTAATAATTATGCGCGAGAATGAACAAGAAGAGAAGCGCAACGCACATATCGACTTTACATATTTCAAACGCGTGTGTAGCCGAGGCGAGTGTAACGGGAAAAGATTCATTAAATTAATCATGTTGTTTGGAATTTTCGCAAGACCGGTTGCATCCTAATGCGTCATTAATGAACCGTTCATTAACCCTTAGGGAGTAATTCGCCTTTCCCGGCGGCAAATCGATCTCGGCCACGGGCTTTCCAAGATCAAAATGTGCTTCGTCAGCGTGCTCACGGGTTACGGATAGCCCCTGTGCCTGTAATTATATATTAATGTGAAAGCAACTTAAGGGATAAGGATCATTAACCCTTTCAAGCTCGCTGATGTCTCGAGGTATCGTTAAAATTTTCAAGTTGTAGAATTATTTCGATTAATTTCCTATGGCCACGCGCTAAGTAACGATATAAATATTGTAAACAATACGACGTTGCATTATGTGCAATTATGTAAATATAGAACGTGTTGTATTACATGTTCTTGGCAAGTATACTTTGGCAAGTATTGTATGTTATATTTATTACGTCTCACATATATATACAGGGTGCTAAATTCCAAACGTAACAGGTAAAAAGTCTCGAAAACTATGAAAGATATTAAAAAAAGCTAAAACATGTGTTCCATGATTTCGAAGGGGAAAGAGAATGGCATTATCAGTTTTTTATTTGGAGGGCATTTTCAAGGTTAGTTGAAGGTCAACTTAATTTTTTAAAATAGAAAGCCCAATTTTTTATTATATCTTCTTTTTCTACCAATTAATTTTAACAACTTTTGTCTAAAACATTTTTTATATGCCTAATATTTTTTGAAATATTTAAGGAAAACTTGGTAACGTTTTCAACATTTAACTTACGATATTTCGCTAACTACTCGTCGAAAGAAAAAATAGTATTAGACTTTTTTATTTTATTTACTATCAAGAATATATTACTATAATAGTGCCTTAACTTTTGTTAATTTAATAATTTTGGAATTTCCAAAGGTCGGTAAGTTAAAGTTAGGGCACTATTATAGTAATATATTCTTGATAGTAAATAAAGTAAAAAAGTCTAATACTATTTTTTCTTTCGACGAATTGTTATCGTACCGAGATATCGTAAATTAAATGTTGGAAAAGTTGTCAAGTTTTCCTTAAATATTTCAAAAAATATTAGCCAAATAAAAAAATGTTTCAGACAAAAGTTGCTCAAATTAATTGGTAGAAAAAGTAGATACAATAAAAAATTAAGGACTATGCAATAGGCTTTCTATTAAAAAAATTAAGTTGACCTTCAACTGACCTTGAAAATTCCCTCCAAATAAAAAATTGATAATGCCATTCTCTTTCCTTCGAAATCACGCAATACGTGTTTTAGCTTTTTTTAATATCGTTCATAGTTTTCGAGATTTTTTATCTGTTACGTTTAAAATTTAGCACCCTGTATATATATATATATATATATATATACAGGGTGCTAAATTTTAATAGAATATATATATATATATATTCTATTGTATACTGTATTACATGATTATTGTATTAGAAAGATATGTCCCTGTAGAAATATATAATTATTAATTAGGAGGAAAGATGTTTGCTGTTAAAGATCATCTGAACTTGGAAGGGTTAAGGACGAGTTTTTTTTAACGCTGCCTTTATTCAATAAAGAACCGCGCTGGTCTCACGCGATGCGTGCAGTCGTTGAGGATAATTCGATCGATGAATTTACCAAAATCTCACGACATCTCTAATCCGCAAAGGCTTTCCATGCTGCGAATCGACCATCAGTTTGCGGACGTATTGTTTGCATTCTTGAATTCTTGGATCTTTGCGCAGTAATTTCTTCGAGTTTCTCCGCTTCAGGGCTCTGACGTTTCGAATTCTTATCGAGAGAACAATAATATCTTATTTATTAATTAATATCTTATTATTCACATTTCCACGCGCGTTGTCATCTCTTATTAAGTCATTATGAATATTTCGTTCTAACAATATTTCATACAATACAATAACAATGCAGAGTAACTCGTATACGTGTAAATTACTGATCGTATCGTGAATGTTACTTTAATAATTATCACATTGTTAGCCATGTATTGTTATACGTATAGGGTAAGTCGACGCGTTGTATTATATAAGCAATTAATTAAATAACTAATTGATTAATTAATTAATAAAGATAAAATGAGAATGAAATTCAAGCTTGAACGACGGCTTAGCGATTCGCAAAATAACGCTTCTGCATTTCAGAGGTGCGGCCCGGCCGGTTGCTGGGAAAGAGGTAAGTGGAAGTATCTCGCGACGCGATCTCCACGAGCGTTTTATTAATGGCGTCAAATTTTCGCGAGAAACACATCTCTCGCGCGCCGTACTCATGATCGTGCAGCCGCGAGAAATAATGCGCTCGCGCCCGCGCGAGCTGATTTCCGTACTCCGTATAACGATATTTGCGGAAAAGCGCCGTCGGTATTTCTTTTTCTTCATTTTAATCCACTTAAGGCCGCTTCGAGAGATCCAGCTTATTAAGCTAACAGCTCTTTACGAGAATCCCGAGGATCTTGAGGATTAAGACCCGGAGGTTAATCTTGCAGCTCTTTGACGACAGACGATCTCTATTAAATCTTGCTCTCAATTCGTTAAATGAAGTATCAGACGTGAGAGAAGAATCGCGCAGCGCGATAAGGACCCCTCCTGATCGAGTAATTTTGCGCGTTTGGAGCTTAAGCGCGCTCGCGCGCGACCTGGAATCCCAGACGGACGTGTCTATCCATCGCTGATCCGCTGAAATTCGCAGCATTTGGGCCGCTCCAAGGTTTGCGGGACGCGCGGGGCTGTGATCGACGTAAGGCATCCAGAATCTTCGCACTTCATACGTACTCAGATACTACAGCACATACTCGAGGTACTCGACCGACGGTAGTAGTCCACGAGATACCCCGACCATTGCCCCACACGCTCCCTTTATCATTCCGTCCTTCTCGCCAATTAGGTATTTCCAATAAAGGATCCTCTCGTGCTTTAACAGGGCGGACCTCAACGGCTTGATCGTTTGCCAGCGCGAAGGAAGGAAAGAAGCGGCTGGAGGAAACTTCGTGCAAGAGGCAGCGAAGAATGGTTGAGAGAGCGACAGCGAGAGAATGAGAAAGCGACAGGGAGGGGGGAGGGGGGACGGGGAAAGCATCGCTCCGACTAGTACTTCCGGTGAGTTACATTGACTCTGCGAGTTGCTACTGCTCGCTACCCGCCTACTTACCGTCGCGGTGTTTTACGGACTGTGGCCGACCAACGGATGTGCTTCCTGCCCCAATTGGCCGATAAAAAAGTGCAGATACGTGCTTTACACTGTGCGCCGCGATGACGACGAAAGTACGCCAGTTCCGTATTGATTTTCAAGTAAGAATACGGCATATCGGCCTCTCGTTGAATTATCGAGTGTCGGCCGCGACCGAAGGGTGCCTCGAGTGCGTTCTCTCTCTCTCTCTCTCTCTCTCTCTCTCTCTCTCTCTCTCTCTGTCTCTCTCTGTCTGTCTGTCTGTCTCTCAGAAGCTGTCTATCCCCGCGAGCCCTTCGTTAAACCGAACACGGGAGCGCGAGCCCTCGGCTCAATCGACTGGGATTACTCGTTCGATTAACGGGCGCGTCTGAAACGGCGCCGTTGACAAATGTATTTCTATCGCGGACAATAGCGCGGAGAAGACAAATTGAGACGTTAGATCCGAGAGTCAATTGGAGAAACGAGCTACGCCGGGCTGTCCGCGGCGGAGTCCGTGCGCGATCCCGCTGTATTTGATGGATTCGATCGGCCCCGCAATACTGCGGACTCGCTCCTTGATCTTGACTTGCTTGCGTATTCACTAGCGCGAATTCGTGCCGAAAGGCACTCGAGCGCCCGCAGAAAGGATTATATACATGTACATAATAATATAATATTATGTACATAATTGTATAAAATCATGTGATAAAAAAAGTACTGTCGTTTCCTGAAGTGTAAATAAAAATGCTTGTATTTTTTATTTAAAATAATTTTTAAACCATTTTAAATGAATTTTAAATGAAGTCTGATTGTTTAATCACCTACTTGAAACTCTTTAGCAAGCATCTGACACGTCAAATTTGAATTCATTTTAATTATTGTCTTTAATTCATCAATCATCCAAATTTAATGATAGATTCTTCCCGATCTAGCTTCGTTTTCTAAATATTCATCTCTTGGAGCAAATTTTTTAAGCCATTCCTGAGCAGCCATTCTTGATGTTACTGCATCTTCTCCAAATGCACTATAAATCTTTCTAGAAGCCTCGGCAGAGTTAGCCCCATTCGTAAAGCAAACATGCACGCACTATTAGGCACAGACATTTTGAAGGATTGAAATATCACTTTAAGGGTTTACGCGATGCTAACGCGAGCGACAGAATTTTTTTGGTTGCCTAATATTATATATAATTGTATACGATCTGCATATGAATTTCATCTCTATATGGTCATGTATATATAGGATGTCGGGAACCTTTTAGAAATGAAAAATTGTGAAGATTAATCAAATAAAAAAAAAGTCAAGTACCATTTTGCAAAAATCGCAGTAGTTATTAAGTGATTAATGATTGAAAATGACCACATCTAGAGGCTCTTTTA